ATTTAGACTGTGAGACTGTGTGTTCGAGTGGTTTAAGAAGCTTTGTCTCTGGAACTAACTGGTATTGACATTTCCTAGTGTGTAGACTCTGGTAGTATAAGTAATTCTATGGGCCTCTGTTTTTCTTTCGTACCAACATTGTATAGAAGGTTGTTTTGAATATAGAACGGTCACTATAAAGCACTTAGAGTCCTGTTATGGTGCTGTAAAATAAGCACTGGTCTGCTGGCCCCAAGTTTGGAGATTGAAACCCTATACATGGTCACTATGAATTGGAACCAATTCGACAGTGCTTAGCAACAACAACATGCCATTGAGAGATTTATATTTGTACCTATTCCAAAGAAAGTGACCAATAGAATGTGGAGATCATTGAACAATATTGTTAATATCACACACAATTAAAATTTTGCTGAAAATAATTCAAATACAGTATATCAGCTGATATATGTATATATATATGTATGTATGTATATTCCATCAAGTCAGTTCTGACCCATCGCAATTCTGCATAGGGTTTCCAAGGAGTGGCTGGTGAGGTTGAACTGCCAATCTTGTGGTTCAAGCCAGCATTGTAATCCAGTGCATTAACCCACACCAAGCCACATACACACATATCTATAAATCAGGAATTGATTTATATAATTGAAATATTTCAACAAACTGATGCAGTACTGGAAGCACTCACTAGTGTATGCCAAGAATTTTGGAAGACATTTACCTGGTCAACCAACTAGAAGATTTCCATACTTGTATGCATTCCAAAGAAAAGTGACCCAATAGTAGTAGAAATTATTGAACAATATCCTTGGTATCACAAGCAAATAAAATTTTGCTGATGAGAATTCAAAAACTGTTACAGAAGTATATCAACAGGGAACTGCCAAAAATCCAAGCCAGATTCACAAGAGTATATGGAACTAGGGATGTCATTGCTGATGTCAGATGGATCTTGTCTGAAATACCAGAAAGATATTTACTTGTATTTTATTGACTGTGTAAAAGCTGTGTGGAGCATAACAAACTATGGATAACATTGTGAAGACTTGGTATTTATTCTAAAACACTTAACTGACCAAGAGGCAGTCATTCAGACAAAGCAAGGGGATACTCAATGATTTAAAATCAGGAAAGATATGCATCAGGGTTGTATCCTTTTGCCACTCCTATTCAATCTGTATGCTGAGCAAATAATTTGGGATGAGGGACTAAATTAAGAAGAACAGGGCATGAGGATCGGAGTAAGTCTCGTTAAAAATCTGCACAACCTTGCTTTACTGAAAGTGAAGAAAGAGGGCTTGAAGCACTTGCTGATGAAAATCAAAGAATACAGCCTTCAGTGTGAATTACAACTCAATGTAAAGGAAACAAAAGCCCTCACTCCTGAACCAATAAACAACATCATGATGAATGGAGAAAAGATTGGAGTTGTCAAAGACTTCATTTTTGGGGGATCCACAGTCAATACTCATGGAAGCAACAATCTGAGAATCAAACAGTGTACTATTGCACTGGGCAAATCTCTGCTGCATATGCCCTCTGTAAGTGTTAGAGAACACAGATGTCAGTTTAAGGACTAAGGTGCATCTGAACCAAGCCATAATCTTTTCAGTTGCCTCCTATGCATGTGAAAGTTGGAAAATGAATAAGGAAGACTGGAGAAGAATTGATGCATTTGAGTTATGGTGTTGGTGAAGATGGTTGAATGGACTGCCTGTAGAGCAAACAAATCTATCTTAGAAGAAGTATAGCCAGGATGCTCCTTAGAATCGAAGATGGTGTCTGTCTCAGGTATTTTGGACATATTATTGGGAGGAACCAGTTTCTGGAGAAGGAGATCATGTTTGGTTAAGTGGAGGGTCAGAGAAAAAGGAAGACTCCCGATGAGATGGTCTGGCACATAAGTTACCATAATGGGCTCAAGCATAGCAACAATTATGAGAAAGGCCAAACCCAGACCAGAGAATGCTTCCTTCTGTTGTTTATAGGTTCACTCTGAGTCATAAGTGACTCTACAGCACCTAAAAACAACACCACCAGCAGATATATACATATATATACACATATATGTGTATATATATACACACACACACACACACACATAGGATCAACACTGCATTGTTAACCATAAAGTCAGTTATTCAAGCCTACAGCCACTCCTTGGAAACCCTATACAGGGTCTCTAGGAGTCAGAACCAACTCAACCACTCTTAACAACACATATATAAATATATATATATATATAGGTGGGGGCTTCAAAAAGTTCATGAAAAACTTCTTTTACTTCATCATTTCTTCCATTCACTATAAATTGTTAAAGAACAATTTTTAGAGTCTCTTCACATGTCCATTTTGGTGTTTTCTTCCTTGCCTGTCTTTTTAATGACCCCTGCTTTCTTCATGTAGGATACTTCTGACATCATCTCATAATTCATCTGTCTTTGGTCCTAGTGCATGGACTTAGGTAGTGTATGTAACTCTCTTGGTCTCTGTTTCTCCTCAAATCAATAAAACGGTTACTATAAAGCATTTAGCATTGAATTCATGCTTGTGAGCAATTTCAGTGTGTTCAGTCTTCTCTTGAGATGGTCTCTAAACTCAGCTGGGATATACTCAAGGTCATCCTTTGATCTTATATATAGTATTACATTTAGCATGCACATTGCTCTCCTCCTCTCCTCCACAGTCCTTCAAATAAGCCCCCCACATCTCCTCCAAAGAGTGGGGCAATTGACAGAGGACTCAGGGCAAGCTCAGTCCTTGCCTTTTGTTGCGGTGGAATTTGTTCAGTAGAGGCCAACCTAGGCTTAAGTCAGAGTTCCATTTCTAAACCTGTAAGTCTAATTTGTAATACAGTCAGAACAATTAGGTGCAGTTTATATCTGATGCCAGTTAGGCAAATGATTGTCTTAGTGTATAGTGTATACCTTTCTGCAGTTAAAAAGAAACACTTGCAGGTACACTAAAACATCTGTAACATAATACAATCATAATGCTACTTTGATTTGCATCACAAAGAGTCTCCATGTGTTATCATGAGCCTTTCTATGTTTCTCAAAATTGTAATGTAATAGACTTTAACTGGGGTTGGTTGAAAACTGTGCATTGTAGGTAAGTCAGATGTTTGTACCCCAGGAACTGCCTGTCATTTCCTTTCCAGCCAACTGCAGCCATTGCCTCTGGGCACTTGTTCAAAAACCAGAAATGAAATCACAGATTGGCCCAACTGAACACAACTCCCCAGTCATAATCCCATTATCTCCTGGTGTGTTGCCCCTCTAGGCAGGAGCCTGGGGGACTGACTGGGGACACCACCACACTGATAAAGCTCGTTCATTTCTGTAGTCCACAGCTCTGTGGCAGGGAGGGCATCAAGGATGGGGCTCTGGCTCTGAGGCTCTTACTGCAGGTCGCCCTGCCCCTCTTCAGCGACCCCTGAGCCCGCTTCCTTGCCCCAGAACAACAGAGAAAAATGAAGGAGCTTACTTCCTCCATTTAATTGGTGACCACCACCTAACCACCCCTTGAATGAATTTGTTTGAAACTGCAATGTGTGGTTTTTACCAAATCTATCACCATTACCAGGCAGAATCTGGCTGCATGTTATTTATAGCTGTTCTATTCAGGTCAGAGTCCAGGAGAGCCATTGTTGCTCTTAATATCGGCTGCATGGGGCTTCTGCAGGCTCATTTTCTAAACAACCGTGAGATTTCTCTGGGCAAAATGAAAAATAAAAACCAAAAACAAACAAACTCGCTGCTATCCAATTGATTCTGACTCATGCAGCGAACCTACAGGACAGGGAAGAATGGCCCCGTAAGGTTTCTAAGACTGTTCTCTGTACAGAAGCCACATCTTTCTCCCACCGAGCAGCTAGTGAGTTCAATCCCTGTCAGCAGCCAAGTGCTTCACCATTGCACCACCAGGTTCCTTGGATATCCAGGGGAAAGGGAAGGTTTTTGTTTCGTCAAGAAAGAACTGTTTTCTGATCATTTGCTTCCTCTTGACATTGCTTTTTTAAATGAAAGGCATAAGAGACAACTGTGTGGGGAGGATTTGGGGTTTGCCCTGTTACCAAGTATTAAAATAGAGAAATTTTAAAACCAAAATGTTGAGAGAGATCCACAGAAAAAAAAAACAAAAAAACGCTGTTCTCCTTCTGAATAGTTTACTCTATAGACCAGACGGTTAAGCACTAGGCTGTGAACTAAGAGGCTGTCAGTTCAAAGTTACCAGAGGTGCCTGTGAAGACAGACATGGTGATCAGCTTCTGAAAGGTCATAGCCTTGGAAACCCCATGGAGCAAGTTTATTCTTACACACATGGGCTTGCCAGGAATTGGAATTGCCTTGATGGCAATTGGCTTTTTTGTTTTTGTTTTTGTTATGTTTTTGTTGTTTGCAGTGATTGACATTTGGGGCTGCTTCATTTCCAGTGAGCTTCCCGGTTTCTCTGTGTTCATGTCATCCTCCTGTTCATTAAACCCACGTAACCTGATCTTTCTTTTTCTTTACTGAGTAATTCTTAAAGAAGGTGGAACGGTGGAGTGTTACTTCCAGGTTTTGCCCCCATCCCTTTTTACCCAATTGTCCAGTTTGCTGTGCTACCGAAGGCCTGCCATGTGGTGTGGCTAGAGTTAGATGGTTCTCTACTAAGAACCTCTGCCTGACTCAGCCCTTTCCCTACAAGGTTCTGGCCATTATGAGGTGAAGCTGGAGTGCGACTCTTTCTGTTGGGGAACAGGAAGGAGGGTATGTGCAGCTTAATGCCTTTTATACAAATGCAATTTATGCTGAAAGGGAAATGATTTGATCCATTTTGGATAGAACTATTCGTTGTGAAGGCTTTGTCAGAGCTACATTGAGGAGGCCAATCCCCCACTCCTCCCAGGTAAAATGAAAGCTCTGGCTCATCTCTGAGATAGCTTGTATTATATTCTTGTTGATGCTGCTTCTTTCCAATTAAACCCTAATTCTCCTTCCCTTTCTTCTTCACATCAGCTCATACCCCAGACAACAGCTTTCTGGGCTTTGTGGTGGAACAGCACCTGAACTCCAGTGACATCTACCACATTAACGAAATCAAAAGGCAGAACCAGTCCCTTGTGTATGGCAAGGTGGATAGCTTCTGGAAGGTGAGTCAGTCCGTATGTGTGTGTGTGGCTCTTTCAGAAAAGAAGCTTCCTGAGTAATTTAATTTAACTTTGATCCAGAGAGTAATCAAGCCGAGTGCCCAGAGCCTTAATGGGATCTGCTTAGAGGTAAACAAGAATGTTCAAGGATTTGGTTTCTCAGCATTTGGTTATCTAATAAAGGCAGCATCTGCTTACCCATGCAGTGGCTGTATCACAGTGCCCTCACTCTCTGCGCTGTGAAAACGACTCACAGTGTCACTTGTACTTGCTTCTGAGAGAAAATGCCTTTCGGAAGCCAGGCACTGCTAGAGGTCCTTTGTCCTCTGGGAAATCACACAAGTGGACAGGTCCCTTGGCCTCTGGAAAGCAGTGACCTTCACATCCTTTTGGCTGTGATCAACCGCCATGGTCAGGTGTCAGTATACAACTACCCCAGAAAGGGAAATGTTCACCGGGGCTGTCAGGAAAACTCTCCGCCACAGGCTGAAACAGATTGTACTACAGGGTTGGGCTGTTGAGACCTACAGAGCCCCTTTGCCTGGTGTGAGTTCCAGGTACACCTGGGGGAAGTTTAGAAGGATGAAAACCAGATTGTTGGAACTTGTTGACAAGCAATGCAAATCATTTTGTATCTGAAGTCAGCCTGAGCATGTGGTCATCATTTGTTGTTTTTTTAAGGGAATGTTTTTATAGGAACAAACCATCCCTCTCTCTCTCTCTCATTGCCATCAAGTCGATTCTGATGCTACATAGGGTTTCCAAGGCTGTAAATTTTTATAGGAGCAAAAATCTTCCTCTTTTTCCTGTTGTACAACTGGTGGATTTGAACTGCCAACCTCGTGCTTAGCAGTCCAGTACTTATCCTACTTTGCTACCAGAACTCCTAAACCATCTCTGTTGTTGTTGAGTGCCACTGAGTCAGTTACAACACATAGTGACCCCGTATAGGAGTTCCAAGAAGCATGTGGTGCGTTTAAACTGCCAACCTTGCAGTTAGCAGTCCAGTGCTTACCTTAGAGTGGTACATCTCCAATACTTAAAAATATGCCTATTCTTAAATGTGGACTCCTGGTGTGGTGCTGTATGACCAGCACTAGACTGTGAACCCACGAGGTCAGCGGGTCAGTCCCACCAGCTGCTCCTCCAAAACCCTATCCGGAGTCACTATGAGTTGGAACCCACTCAATGGCACTTACAACAACAACAACATTCTTAAATGTAAGAGTCCATCACTTTCCAGAATGATTGTAAGCTGTGGTGCCTCCCTTTACCAGGCAGTTAAAACTCTTACAAATGGGGAAGTGCAAGTTTATGTACAGGATGGAAATGGTTTTTCTGTCATTGTTTTTCTGGCACTGAAAACTTTGCTGTCTCCCCCTGCCTCCCACCCCATAGTTCCAAGAGGTCAGCTATACCAAACGTAGTTTTAGATTGACCCATTTCCAGAGAAGCTGATTTAATTCCAGATGGCTGTCTTTGCCATCAGTAGCTAAAAGTCTGTCTTAGTCTAGTCTAGGGTTCCCAACTGGAGATAGTTTTTCCCCCTATAGGACTTTTGGCAATGTCTGGAGATGTTTTTTGATTGTCAGAATCTGGTGGAGGTACGCTACTGGCATCTAGTGGGTGGAAGTCAAGGATACTATTGAACTTTCTTTATGCAACTGGCCCAAATTGCCAATAGCGCTGAGGTTAAAAAAAACCCTCATCAGGTAAATAAGATTTATTTTCTTCCTGCACTAGTCTATACTCTCCCCTCCCAAATAAATGGCACTGTAGGATAAGCACTGGACTACTAACCACAAGGTCGATGGTTCAAACCCACCAGCTACTCCTTGGAAACATTATACTAGATAACACCTAACAACAACAAGTAAAATAACATCAATCAGGGTTATAAATGGTTATTTGAAGTGTTCCCTTGAATGTATACATTTTTATTTCCCTTATATTAAAATCTGCCCTGCTTTAACAATGCATTCTTTGGCTGACTTTCTGGCAAAAGTGGGTGAACACGGCAAGTTGGGAGTTCTCCTTGTCAGCCTGGCTGTCCCAACCTTGGTTTCAGGAAGACAGTCTCCTAGAGAAGAGTCACAGTGATCTCCCCTCTGCACCTCCAAGAAACTGCTCACATCTCTGTATAAACTTGACATTGAGAGTGTATCTCCTCTGGAATGCAAGTGGCCCCGCCTTCTAGGTGCCTGACAGCTTCTTCCATTTCCCTAGAAAAACAAACTCGTAATTGGTTCTGAAAGCTTCTTTTTTTAAAAAAAAAAATTAATACTAATAACTGCCAGTGAAAGGATAACGCTCTCCGGATGCCAGTCAGAATCCCAAGTGTTAATCAGCCACCTTGAGTCAAGTGATTCAGGGTGCAGTCTAGAAATGTCTCCGAGTTTTGAGATGTTACCTGTGCACGTGGTCTGATCTTGTATACAGTGTTTATCTCAGACAGTTGAGCATCAGTGTATCTGCAGTGGTCTTTGCCTGTTGTTGTTAAGTGCCATTGAGTCACTTCCAACTCATAGCCACCCTCTATGGGTTTCTGAGGAACGGCTGATTGGTTTGAACCACCACCTTGCTGTTCAAACAGACCTTTCAGTCTAGTGCTTATCCTACAGTGCCACTAAATACCCACAATCCAGTGTGTCATTTCAATTGTATTACATCATTCCAGGATTCTTTGCTAGGAAAGGCCCCAAAAGATGAAAACTACGATAAAGTTTTAGCATGAACTTAGGACATATTCTCAAAGGTTTGAACACACACAGTATGTGAGCATTGTTGGGCTTATTTTATGGCTCAGCCACCTACTGTTTGATCTTGGATGACTTACTTAACTTGTCTCTGACTAATTTTCATTTGTAAAATGGGAATGAAATTATGGTTTTTGTGGAGATTAATTTAGTTAATATTTGTGAAGTGCTTAGAGCAGTACTCGGTACACAGTAAGTCTAAATAATAATTGCTACTATTGTTATTAATCTCAGGAGCATGATGGTTCAGTAGGGTAAGCACTGGACTGAGAACCACAAGGTTGGTGGTTGGAGTCCACCAGGTGTTTCATGGGAGACGGATGAGATTTTCTGCTCCTGCAAAGATTTACAGCATTGGAAATCCTATACAGGGTCACTATGAGTCAGAACTAACTTCAAAGCACTTAACAACAACAACATTATTAATATCATTATTGGAGCCAGATAGGAAAAACAAAAGCAAGAATTGGTGTGTGTATGGAGGGTGGGGAAGATGTAAGCAATAGGAGAATCTGTGAAAAGCCAATTGCCATCAAGTCAGTTCTAACTCAAACAACTCGTGTGTCAGAGTAGAACTGCATTCCCTGGGGGTTTCACTGTAGATCACCAGGCCTTTCTTCAGGGCCACTGAGAAACTGGAAAACATTAATCTGCCTAAAGATACTCGAATTCAAATTTTTAAACTTTGCCAGGAGTTAGCAAACCTATGGGCTGTATTTAACCTACCGCCCATTTTGTTTGTTTTTTTGGTTGTTTAATAAAGTTTTATTAGAACATAATCATGTTCATTCCTTAGTGTGTTGTTTAGGACTGCTTCAAGCTGCAGTTATGATGCAAACTGTATGGTCCTCAAAGCCTTAAATATTTACTATCTGCCTCTGCTTAGAAGTTTGCTGACCCCTGAACTCTGCTGTTTCCTGTGTAAATCAAGTACGTCTCTGGAGGCCACATTTGGCCAGTAGCCCTGGCATGGAACCCATTATGATCTTCTGGGCATGTTCAGCGTTCTTCCTTCGGCACCTCATTATTGAGGCTGATGGATAATGATGAATGGAAAGCATCAGTGTGCTTTACTAAAATCCTTGTCAAGACGAGCCAGCAGGTACCTCCTATTAGACATTCTAGGGTCCTGGGGTGACGCTGTAGGATGCGCACTGGACTGCAAGGTCAGTTTGAATCACAAGGTCGGCGGTGCAAACCCACCAGCTGCTCTTCACTGGGTGAAACCCTACACTGGGTGGCTATGAGTCCGAACTATGAGTGGCACTTAACAGGAACAACAAAGCAGACCTTCTGCACACACTAGCGTTTATTCTATAACTAATGCACTAATATCAGGAGAGAGCCGTGCATGTGTGCCACATTGACACTTCTCAGAGCCTTTCCTGTCCAACGTGTGGGGTGGTGCACTTCAAGTTCTTTGGAGGAGACTAAGGGCAGCTGTTAATGATCCTTAACCATCTCGGTTTATAGATGGGGAACTGGCTCAAAGAACTAGAGTAACTCGTCCAAAGTCACGCTTCACAACTGAGCTTCTGGCCTTTCCTGCTACTCCTTACTTAACAGAGCAGCTCCTCTGCTCTCTGCCCTGCAAAGATGAGCCCGTCATTAGAACAGGACTCATGGTAACTCCGTGGGTGTCACAGTAGAACTGTACTTCATAGTTTTTCAGTAGATCACCAGACCTTTCTTCCAAGGTGCCTCTAGATAGATTTGAGCTCCCAGCCTATTGGTTAGCAGCCATTATTGTTTACAGGACTCAAGAAGGATGGTCTAGACAGTTGCAGCTGAAACTACAAGCAAATGCTGGTAATAACAAGTAAATTGCTGCACCTGGCTACCCACCACAAAAATGGGGAGCTCAGCCACAGCCCTGCAGCCAATTCCACAAAGAATAAATACTTCTTATTTGGGGAATTCAAATTGTTTTTGGCTTGGGGAACCAGTGGCAACAACCAAAGTCATTCTCACCTCAATTCAGAAAAGTCCTCAAAGACAGTCTGAGTTTAAAGCATTTCCTCATGGACTGTTCCTTACCCATAACCTGAAAATGGGGCAACAGACCTTCTAGAAACAAGATTCAGCATTTCTCTCCTCTCATCCTTAATAACTTCCTGCCCTCCTCTAATCCATTTTACCCAGAGCAGCCATGGCAAACCTATTGGAATGTAAATTGGCTCGTGTCTGCCTGGCCTTTGCTTAAAACACTCCAAAGGTTTCATTTTAAATTTAGAACACTAACTTTAC